CAGATACTTTATTAAGATCTGAGAAAGTTGACTCATAAATATTAGTTCTCATTAAATCAATGTAGACTGTTAAATCAACTGTAAATTGAGAGGGCAAGAAGAGAGATTCAGAGCAGGTCCGACAACTGCATAACTGTCTTGGTCTAAACTAATCTGACTCCCAGTACAAATAATCCAATACAAAAGTTTCATTTATCTTATCGGTTATACTGTATCTCTTGATTGGTTACTGAGATTATCTATTAAAAGTGCGAGTTGTGAGTGGCGAGCTACGAGTATATTGTTAATTTCTAATAATATCGGGTTTAATTTTAACCCAGGATTAACACTAACCTAGCTTAATTTGAAGCACCGAACCAGATGTTTACACCTATGGTTTACACTAAAAATCAAATTGAAAACTGTATGGCATCCTGGCGAATGGAATTTTAGCTTTGTCTCAATTTGACGCCAATTTTAACTTTTGAAAGAAAATTAGGTTTATTTATCTCTTCTCTCCTTTCTGATTCAATGCATTTATTCTTATACTTACAAACTTGTAAAATGTAAATAGCAATCGTTTTGATGTACTGATGGATTTTTCACGTGTTTAATTAAATAAAGTTTATGTATGTATATGTATGTACTGTATGTATAAATTGAATTTTTGTAACTTCAGTTGTACCTCCGATGAAAAGGACTTGAGTTTAGAATTCGGAGCATTCAGTATATATAAACAAACTGAGTCGGTGTCTGATCATACTTACAAATAAAATTAAATAACCATTAAAAGATTAGTAAGCACAAAATGGTCTGGATAACTACTAGATTTAATTAAACACAGAAACGGCAAATATGAACTTACACTTTGATTTTCAATATAGTTATTTTAATTCTTGAACATACCGATGGATCTAACAAAGTAAACAAACAAGTAAAGGCCAATCAGTTTCATCTCGACCGTATCGTAGCATTTTCTTTTGTGTCAAAGTGATTAGACTCATTAGTTCCACTCTAGTGCTCAGAAAAAAAAAGAAGTACGCTACGCTTCGGTACGATGCGACTGAAATGCACGGAAAACGTGTTGAACGAATTTAGTTGCAGGGAATTTGACTTCGAAGGACATTAATATTTATGAAACAGAAAACCCTTGGACTTCGCCTTCCGTGTCGTCCATATATATTAATATACTTTCAAAGCCTAATTCAAAGCGAGGCCTAACGATTCGCAGGTCGCAGCTCGCAAAATAGCCGACTTCTTGGTTACTCAATCCAGGTGTTTAACATAGACATAACATGGTTTTCCTCGGCTTTAAAAGTTTAATTGATGAACAAAGGAGTCAATAAACATGGAACTTAACACCAATCAGCATTATTCTAAAGATAGTTCATGGACCTGAGAAAGTACATTAGGTAAATCTTTTTAAAACTGTAAATATGTTCCACAGGTTTGAAATAAACCACAAAAAAATGTTCCCAGGCAGTGCTTAATTTACCAAATTGTTTTGTTTAGCATTTTGCATAGATTTAGCTTAAATCATATCTAACATTATTATCAGCCCTATAAGGCCAATTTTCCGCAGAAAGAAAATTTTGTGATATGCGTCTGGCTGACACAAGTTTTCCCTTGAAAAAAATGTAATTTTGATAATATGCGTATAGTACCTCCGAAATACATGACGTTTGCGTCCGTCGAAACGATTTTTAAGTCCGTATACGGTGTTACCAATAGTATCGTTAAGTGTTTCTAATATAGACATCGCTGATTCTAAGCGGCCAATACTCAAAGTAGACACAAATTCATTTTTGAATGCTTACTAAATAGTGCGAAGGTCTATAGCGAATCGGTGCTTATAATATTATAATCATATAGAATCACCTTTGAAACTGGAACCTAGTTTATATCACTAATTAAGAACGCTTATCGATTAACCTTTTCCATTCGCAGATTTTAGATTCAAGCATTACTATCGCTGAATGGTAACGTTCGCAAACGGTGCTATAGCGTCAATCAAATGAATTGTAGAATTTGAAAATCCATGTATATAAAATATAATCCGCCAAAATGACTTTAAAAATACACGTGTTGTCTGTTGAGTTGCGAAGTTTATGAGCCAACGTCATTGATGCATGCGCATCGTCTGCGCATGGGCAGTTCTACAACTGTTACTGATATTTTGCAAGGCAGAAATTTCGCGTTACACCTGAAAACAAAATTTGTTTTTCCTCTGAACAATATTTTCAAGAATGGACAAGCAGACCTGGAAATATTTGGAGAAACAACAAGATTTTAGATGTTCCTGTAACAGGTTGAGAAGTTTTTATTCGGTTTTACCATGCAAGTATAACATTAATGTTAGTATAGGAATCATATTGTGTCGGTTATTTCCGGGGCTAATATTCACTCCACCCCCCGCCTACACACGTAAACCGCACAAGTTGTAAGAAACCTCATGCAGACTTGTAGCAAAGCTGTTCCAACAACATGTCACCAGGATGTCTTTGCACTGCTTGTCGCCAGAGCTTGTTGACAACTTCCTACAATTAATGTTCCTGAGCTCAACAGTCTTGTTACAAGTTGCAATTCATCAATTTGTCAACAAGTTGTCAGTGACAACATTGTAGCAACTTGATAAGACAACAGCATTCTTACAACTTGTTGACAAGCTTCCTACGAGCCTGCTGCAAACACATCTTGTTGACAAGTTGTGAGATTTTTACGTGTGTACCAATATAATTTTAGAACATTCTGGTTAAAATTTTTTGGGGGTTAATTTAATATCATACAAGAAAAAACATACTTCGAAGAATAACATATTGTAAACTCAAGATACGAGCTATAACACAAGACAACAATTTTGCGGTGATATTTCGATTCTATTTCAAAGTCATTGTCAAACCAGAATAAGCTATTTACAAACTTGCTATCATACTATATACAAAGAAACAGGAAGAGATGACGTATTAGAAACATTACACTATTGACATACAATGATACTTAAGAAAAGACCACGAGTTCTTCAGGCGCTCTTAATCCATTATTAAGCACGGGCTTTCTGTATTTAATATACAGAGCTTCAAGGAATAGGAGAAGGTTGGAATTCGTGTGCTTAAGAGTGTGAACAGTTTGAATGTTAGCCTAAATAAGATTGTGAAAAGAGAGCGGTGTGACTAGTTTGACTGTGTCACTGTCATTTATGTCATTAAGGTTGTCAAACATGTGGTTCAAATTAAGGATGAAATTAGCATGTTCACATTCCGACAAATGTTTTGAAATCGAACTTTTTTGTGGATCTGAGTGTTCCGATAATCGAGTGGCCAAATCTCTTTCTGTTTTGCCTATGTAAGAACTGTTGCAACAGGACAAGTAAATTCATAAACAATATTGCTACGCGAAGAGTTAGGAATTTTGTCTTTTTTAGGCAAGAAATATGATATCTTTTCAGTGTCATAAATTACGACAAATTTGACCGGCTGTATGAGATTCCGCTGTATTTTCTTAAGACGTTTTTTAACCAAAAATTATCCTTGCTTATCCAAGAAAGGTATTCTTATCCAAATTTTAGGTCTGGTATCATCAGAAAAATCATTTTGAGATGATAGTTCATTGGTGTTGTGTTTGCTACAATCCACGCTAGAGTTGACTTCATACTTGGCCTTTAATTTGCGAATAATTGAAAACCGCACATTGGCAGGAAAGCCATTCCAAGACATAAATTTGGAAATCATAGAGATTTGTTTGTTAATAAAAGTCAAGTTACTACATATGTTTACAGCCCGGTGAAAAAGCGACCTAACCCATGCCGTTTTGCGTGACCAAAGCTCAAAACTGTCTGACAATGACTTTGAAATAGAGTCGAAATATCACCGCAAAATTGTTGTCTTGTGTTATAGCTCATATCTTGAGATCACAACATGTTATTCTTCGGAGTATGTTTTTACTTGTATTTTATTAATTTGTCTGCTGGTAATGGTTTAATTTAATATCCCTGGTTAAATTTCATGCATATGTAATATACCTTTCTGAATCTCTATATATAGGGAGAACAGATTAGAACTGTTATACAACATGGAAATCTATCCGTTTTCAGGTTTGTCATATAATAAAAATCCTATTAAATGGTTAGACATATAATCCTGCCCAGCATTTTACTCGTTTCTCGCATTTTCCCAGCTCGCCCTTTCAGTTTCAGGGCTACGTTCGAAAACTCGTAAATGCTCGGCCGAATTATATGTCAAATCATTAAATTCAATATCAGCTATGCATATTCGACTCGAGTTTGTAAAATGACTGTTAATTATCATGTAAGCAAAAAGAGTAATATGGTTGGCTAATTTACTCATGAATTGTTGACGAGCTTAATATGTGAGATTAGTTTTCCCCACACTTAAATGCTGTGAAATGTTCTAGATATAATGCCATTCAACCACCCGTATTATTTCCTTTTCACGGGGTTGGCCTAGTGCTTGACAGCTGCATCTCGATTTGGCTGAGATAATTAATTTCAAAGTTGATTACGTAGGGTTTTCGGGAAAGCGAAACTGTTAGCGCAAACAAGCGAAGGATAAAAGGAATCTTTTGGGACTCCTGCAATTGATTTCACCGTTATTCTCCTTATTTAACGTTGGTAAGTCTTGTGTAAACTGAGTATTATTGCATACTATAAACGATGTCTCCATGACTCGGGGTTAGGAAGACAAGAACCAATGACACACTATAGCTGGGGTGCAAGAGAAACTAGAAAATATTGTTGCTAGCTAAAACATCGTTTTTTAGGGATTGTTGGGTTTATATATATATATATATATATATATATATATATATATATATATATATATATATATATATATATATATATATATATATATATATATATATACGCGAATGTCAATAAATATATTGAGTGTCGAATCATACGAATAGAGTGCTCGATAGGAATTGTAGACCAATTAAAAGATAAACTTGAGTTACTTCGTTTAAAACATTTATTAACGACAAATTTGTTTCGTATGGAAAACTATAAGCTTGCCATACTCATCAGGTGAATGATAATATCGCGTATTTACATGATGTTATAACCTATAACAACATGTAAATACGCGATATTATCATTCACCTGATGAGTGTGGCAAGCTTATAGTTTGCCATAGGAAACAAATTTGTCGTGAATAAATGTTTTAAACGAAATAACTCAAGTTTGTCTTAGGCGATTTAAACTACACAACTTATGCCTCAAACTGTCGCATACAACCTGCTTACAACTTAAGTTATACTGTGTAAATCATGCACACTTCTTACGCACCTTTGGAAAATCGGGTGAGTTGTATGTTTGATTTATACAGTACAATCCAAGTGGTACTAAAGTTACAAGCGGCAGTTTTATAGTTAAAAGTTATAATTGCAGTGTGGTGGGAAAGTCGGCCCATAGACTCTGTCTTCATTCCTGGAATAAATCACCATTTCAGCAATTTAGATAGTTGCGATTCGTAATTACTGAACCACATTCAACACTGCCTGTGGAATATTGTTCAAAACATTTCATGTTTGCGAGACTAGCAAAACAAAATATCTCTTCCCGGAAAATAAGTTTTGTTTCAGCAAAACAACGTTTTCAAGAATGGACAAACAGACCGGAGAATATTTGGAGAAACAACAAGATTTTATAACGATGTTTCTGTAACAGGTTGTGAAGTTTCTTATTCGGTTTTACCATATATACATATATGGTAAAGCTATTACACTTAAACTACGTGCATTGCATTTAGTATTGTCTAACTTAAATTTTGATATACGCCCTGTGCAATTTCCTGCAATATTGATCGAGAGAACTGTGTTCCAAATTGAATAAACATTTTGGGAAGTGTCGAGAATTAGCTAAAAACGGCCTGTTAAACTAATTTGGTGGCCGTTACCATTTTATCATAAATATTCGTTTCAGTGAAGTGAAGTTTAAATTAAAAATGTTTATTGGATGGATGTGCTCTTTTATTTTTGTTTAAGGTCTTTGGGAATGCATAAAAATTAAATTATGAAGCGATTTTGACTAAAAGATTTATTCTAAATATTAATGAAATAATGGGAATGAAATTCTAATGTTCCAAAAAAGAAACGTCAAGTGTTTTTTTTATAAATACGCTTCGTTTAACGAAGGACCAAAGAGTTTCGATATGTTTAGAATATGCAAGGGTAAATAATGCTTGTGAGGTTATACCGGCGGCGTTGGGCAGGTCTATGACAACGAACGTGTACTTTCTGACTATAGTGCGTCCAAGCACGTTTTATTGCTGTATAAAATATTTGATAGGCCGTTTTTGGCTAATTCTCGACACTTTCAAAAATGGTTACTCAAGTTTAAACGCAGCTCTCTCGGTCAATATTTCACGAAAATGCACAAGGCGTATATCAAAATATAAGTTGGACAATACTGAATGCAATGTAGTTCACGTGTAATAGCTCTTTTAGCTTTTAAGTTAAAACAAATCAAACAGGTTAACTTTTTTTTGCGCCACCCGGTATATATATATATATATATATTGGAATCATATTCTTCCGGGGCTAATATTCACTCCGCCCTCCGCCTAGACACGTAAAACCTACAAGTTGTAAGAAACCTCCTGTAGTCTTGTAACAATGCTGTTCCAACAACTTGTCAAGGATGTCTTCGCACTGCTTGTTCCTAGTTTGTTGGCAACTTGCTACAAGGTTCCTAAGCTCAACAGTCTTGTTACAAGTTGTCCCAACAACTTGTTATCGTCCTGCAATTCATCAATTTGCCGTCAACACGTTGTGAGTGACAACCTTGTCGTGACTTGATATGATAGCGGCATTGTTACAACTTATTGACAAGTTTGCTACAAGCGTCCTGCGAACACATCTTGTTGATTGACGTGTGTACCAATATTTTAAATCACTCTGGTTAAAATTTTCTTTTGGGTTAATCCCGGAGCCAACGGCGCCACAGCTGACAGATCATACTAGATGTCTCACTCTATCTATCCCTATGATTTTCGTGTCCACAATTTTCGCATGACTGATCACGAATTGCACACGCCAGATGACGTGTGCGACACTTACTGCCAAAATGGCGGCGATTGCCCACGCAATGCCACGCCATACTTCTGGTGTGACCCAGGCTCCTTTTTTGTTTTGACCACTCTGCAGCTCTGCCATCGACGGCAAAGTTTTTTTAAAAAGTTATCGCTGGATTTCTAATATTGGATTTCAACTGATATAAGAAAGAAGAACAGCAAGTTTAATCGTTTTAAAAATGCCAAAAATGTACATCTAGCTCTTTTTCCCACACGTTTTGGACAGTTAACTGGTCTTAACTTGCCTTTTAGTGGAACATTTTTTATAGACGCGGCATCGAAGTTTCGGACTTCTGGTGAGCAAATCTTTGATATAATCGTAAAATTCAAGCTTCCTGTGAATTGCGAGGTGTCATGGCGGCGTGACATGTCTTGTTAAGCTCCGTTTATTTTTCGCTAAAACTTTAACTATGGCCTTAACTATCGAATCCTTAAAGAATATATGGAGTGATGAGTTCTTTCCTAAAGACCCTGTCACACTGTTGCGTATCGTACTAGCGTATGCCAGCGTATGAAAAATATCACTCATACGCCGGTATACGCTGACATACGCTAACGTTATAGGCATAGGTTATATATTTTTCAAGCACGGTCGCATACGTTGGCATACGGCAAGGCGGAAGATTTTTTTAAGCATGTTCAAAAATTTTGTGCGTGATTCGGACGTATGCTTTATACGATAAGCATACTATAGGCACACGCTGAATACACTAGAGGTACGCCAGATGTACAGTACTTATATATTATGTACAGTACTTATATACGTATACGCTGGCATTTCAAAGGATTTTTGTACGCATGAAAATTATTTCATTAATTTTCATACGCTTCTCATACGTTTCTCTCATACGCAATTGTGTGACAGGGCCTTAATATAAAGAAGGAAATAAGAGCCGGAATTAAGGCCGAAATTCATAGTATCAACCTATCAATAAACCAAATGGTGAAGAAACTCGACTGCATCGAAACCTCACAACAGATGCGCAGTGACAAGTATGACTCCATTATAACCTCAATACAGTCAACAAAGTAACAAATTGACGATATAATTAAAAGGAATGAAAACCTTGAAACCTGATTCTGAACAAGCAAAGCAATTTTATATATGACATTCAGGCGGAAATTGATGCAACGCAGCAGTATTCGAGAAGAGACTGCTTTGAGATTTCCGGTCTCCCAATCCTGCCAGTAGACCGTCCAGCAACATTCGTACAATAAGTCGTGGAAATGATAGGCGTAGATATCGAAGACAACGACATCTCTGTGATCCATGGATTGCCTGATTCTAAACGAAAAAAGGACCGAATTATAATCAACTTTACACGTAGAGTGAAGCGTGATCAGTTGTATAAAGCCTGCAAGCACACTGCTAGCAAGAAAACACAAGAACTCCCGTCCATTAGAAGCTAGATGGGAAGTTTATCCACTCTACTTCATCGATCTACATCAACGAATCATTAAAAGGCAAACAGCGGTAAGATTTCTCTGGACAAACAGCGGTAAGATTTATTTACGTGAGTCAGATGGCTCAGCTGTATGCTAACATTTCAAACTCATGAGGAATTTGATGGCTTCCTTGAGTAAAATTCGCTCTCATAAATCTAGCACGAGATTGCTACATAATTCTCAATAACAACATAAATTGTACCAATTGTAAATCCTATATCATATCATGGCTGAAGACTGGAAACCCCCATTCGATGGCTTAGACGGTCGTGAATTCAGATTCCTTGCTTAGACGGTCGTACGTGAATCGAATTTAGATTCCTTATAACATTTGTAATAATATACATAGAAATATTACTCCACTGTGATTGGTTGATTTCAGTGCATTTAATCCCAAACAGCTGTGCAAAAATCTGTAACAACAGTGAAAAATCTGTAACAACGGTGCAAAAATATGTAACAACACTGCAAAAATCTGTAACAAACTGATCTGATTGATGGAAAACATTGTGATGATAAAATCAACCAATCAGTTTAAAAAGCACTTTAGTTTAACAAGGAAACATGAGTCACAGATTGCTTCAAAACATAACAAACATGGCGCCGTGCTACTTAAAGTACTTCGCGTGGAAAATATGGCTTTCATCTTTATTTTTAAATGGAAAAGCCTTTACCTTAAACAAGACTAACAAAACTTACGCTGTTGAATGGAATTTTCAAGCTGTTAGCCAGTGGCGTAGCCAGAACGATAATTGGGGGGCCCATATTCATACATTCGTGTTCACATACCATAAAAACAATTGATTTCAAAAGAAATTAATTAAG